TTATGAAAACATCGTTTACTCTTTGATTTGTATGAGTTCTTTGAGTGTTAGGGTGTGTATGACTGTCCAGTCTGAGAGTTGATGTGTTTGAGAGAATCAGATGTATTAAACTTGTAGATGATATTTAAAGTGTATAAGGACATTTAATTTTCTAAGCACATAAATGGAATTGTTTAGGGAAGTTTTATCTATTATGCTTATAAGCCAGTTGAACATCCATCAAAGAACACATGAAGCAATCACTTCTATTTTACATAAAACAAGCAAATTCATGAAAAAATAATTTGATTTATAGGTTGAGCTAAAAGAGTTAGGAAAAAATTAATTTTTGATTTATAACTTTATCAATTTAAATTCAAGGCTTCCTCAGAAAACTTCAATTAACAACACTGAAAACATGACTATTGTTCCTACTGAATCATGCAGTCTTATGCTAATCTGAACACAAACTCATTCATGACCAACACAATCCTATGCCTGTTATTTGACTGGCTCATGTTAGCATCCTGGAGTTGCTAAACTTTTTATGTAATAATCTTTGGGTTGACATTGTGGCCTGGGAAAAATGGCACACAGTTTACCTAAAAGTTTAAAATTTCTCTGGTGAGGGACTATGCAGCTACATCTAGTCTGGATGGATGGGAGTAACTCTTAGACCAGTTACAGCTGGTCTCATGATGATGTTGTAGTATTCTTCACTGCCCTGACTTGTTCTTCAACTTATCAGTATATAATATGGTTTGAGTTATAATTGTTTTTATTAAACATACCATTTTATATATAAATCGTTTCAGTTTGTGATAGAGAATTATTACATTGGTTAAAAAGAATCAAAACTCATGATTCATCTCTCTCTCTCTCTATATATAAAGATGGGTCCATCAAATGAAGGCCTCAGAAGCAAAAGTTTTTCTCCAACCTTCTCCTGTATTTCTGCCTCTCAGTCCTATTCTTCCCTGTGGCTACCCATGCAAAGCAGAATTCATCTTCCCCAAGGCATGTCATAGAAACCAGAACACTTTTTCCCAAAAGCCAGCCATAAAACCTAAAATTATCCTGTGTAAAAACTGGCCATAAAGAAATTATCTGACCTACTTTGTCTGTGGGTCATAAGACCCTCATTCCAGAGAGGCCCTACCCCCCACACACAAGGATTGTATTCTCCAATCCAAGCCCAGAAAGGCCAA